TTAAATATTAATGACACAACACCAACATGAATTGACAAGCTTTCTTATTACTTTAAGGCAATTACAGAATCTCCAAAACCAACTGAGCAACATGTATAGGTAATCGCATGGGGCCGAGTAAAATTAAGGATTAATATCACGCGTGTTTTCGGAAGTTGCTGAAATTTCCCGAGTCGCGCAGCGACGAGGGCAATTTCTGCAACTTCCGAAAACACAAGTGATATTAATCCTTAATTTTACGAGGAACCACGTGATTACTTGTTTATAATATAAGGGGCAAAATGTTTTCTTACTGATCTCGCGCAAAACGGGACGCCATTGTTACAAAACAAACAGAAATTTCTTTACCTTGGCAGCCGTTGCTAAGCGATTTTCAACCAATTATTTTCAATTAATTTTGCCCGGGGCAATTAAAAAAATTAAGAAAAAATGCCCTCTGTCTTGACCAATCACAATTCAGTAATTTTGCCCCTTATGTAATAAATTGCTTAATTCGCTTTGCTTTCTCAGTTGTCAGTAACTTTTTTGTGTATCGTTGTAGATGTCAAATCCAATCCTTGAGGGTCTACATGAAATAGCCCAGGGTGAGTACCACAAGTATTTGCTATCAACTTATGGATTAAGATCTGAGAAAAGTTGTGCTGCTGAGTTGGAGTAATGGAGCAGCCCAAACATTCTTTGTTTGCTTTGATGATAACTTTCTGTTTCCTTGATAGATTGTCAATTTTTGAGAATTGTAAAAAGGAGTAAAAAAGTGAAGGAGTAAAGAGAGAGAACGAATGAAAGTTATTTTTTCTTAAAACTAATTTACTCGTAATAAAGCCTGTTCCTGCGATTCTTAAAATGAAAACAAAGAAGCGAAGAGTCGGGAAGAATTCTAGAATTCTTCATTAGCGTCGGAGAGGAAAGCAAGGGAAAGTCAGGTTGTCTTATGATAAACAGAATAAGTGTATTACCTTTCTAATCGGGGGGGAGCCTAAGGGGGTAGGGGTTGTGAAATGCTCTAAGGGACGCACCCCCATCCCGCACGTTGGTTACTATTCTAACAAAATTGTTTCCTTCAGTAGTATGGTTGGTGGCTGTGAATTTGTCGCATTCAACTTTTGCCTTTGTTTTTTTAATTTTCAGCTTGTCAAGGAGGGGACTACCCCCGTGGTCTGATGGCACATACAAGGCTCATATCCAGCGGTAGTTTTTCGGAAATCAGCACGTTTATGCCTGGGCTCAAGTCTCTAATGCAGATAGCCACACAATTACGTGTTTAATGATATCTGCTGTTTAGAAATATTAGAACTGTTTCCACTTAAAAACGATTTCACAGAAGAGTCAGCACGTGACCCTAACCCTTATTACGATGTGGTGTGGACGTTGTGTCCTCAGTACTGGAATACTCTATAAATTACTCCTCATTGCGCATGCCCTGTTTGCAGGGCTTTTGATTGATAAGATTTGGACGTGAGAAAGAAGGGAAAGAGGGTGTTCTGGGTGAGGATCTGTTGTGAAGTTAAGGAAATCTCTATCGCTCATGCAATCAGCAAAATTTAAATTTACTGAAGGTGGATAGCAGAAAAGGAGAGCCTCCAAAAAAGTGTCGCCAAGTGTATTTCTTCTGCTGATCAAAGGAACAGGGAACTAGAAAAAGATACGTAAAGAAGATTACAAGTTTCAAAGTAAATTATGAATATAATTTTTTCACTTTTTCCAGAAAGGTGACATAGAGGATATGGCCGTGCAACCCTTTAGATTTTAGGTCTGTTTCTTTATTCCTCTCGTGGAGAAAACTTTTAAATCGAAAGGAACTTGCGAAAGTGATCATTATTTGACAGATAATCTGCAGCGGTAAGGTCACACTTTAATTTTGGAAATTTGGAAAGAACCCTTTTTTCAAACAATCTTTGATTCAAAGCCAGTCAAAAAGGAGAGATTGTGAAATGTTCGGTGATGATTGCGCTCCGAAAGATATGCGTTAACTGGTATATTTTTAGAGTTCTTCTCAATTACAGATCATGTTCAACTTGAATGTTGTGCCTTTCCATGTTGTTTTATTTTTTTCCCTTTATCGTCGCTTTCTGATCTTTGTTTTTGCAGTTGCTCTTGCTCAGCGGCTTTAGTAGGTATTTTTAAGAAGGGAGGGGAGGGGAGGGGAGGAGACTGCAATGCAAACGCGTCGATGGAACTAAGAGCTTACCAGCAAGATTTATGTTCACAAATAATTAGTTTTCACATCAGAGAGGGGATTATATACACGCCACACAAGGACGCCCCCCGTTACTTAGTTACTTTCTTTTAGCCTCATTTCATTTATTTCGTTTCTCTTCCGTTTGCGCCGTCATCTCGAGAACGATATATTTTTGCAGTCTTTTAAACTCCAGGGACAAAATTACCCCCATTCTGAACTAAAAGTTTTGCGTATTGCATTTTTCGCCGCAACTGCATTTCAGGCAGTTTGCATTAGAAAAAAATCAACTCTCACCAACCATTTCTTTCGTCATCTGTGGTGAAGCTCAGTTTACTGCCGTTTGAACCTCATGAACTGGACACAAGTCACTATTAAGCTATAAGAAACTGGACACAAGTCACTATTATGCGATATGGAACTGAATACTCAGAATGGTCGTTAACCCGGTCATACATCACGAATGATTTCTGGAAGCAGAATATATGAGCATACTTTATACCCTCCGCTTGCAACGTTCAAAGTAGAGCAAAACTTGTAGATGTTTAGAAGAGACCTTCATCCGCAAGTTTGTCACAGGTTGATGTGCTACATATGGTTCACATTGTAGACTACAGAATATACGAGTAAGAGATACTTTCAGCACGAGAACATGAAGTTCGTATCCCCGCGCGGCCATGTAATGTTGTGTTTATTTTATAGGTACTGATGAAATTTCCACACAAAACACAACTTTTTAGTCGGGCGACCGACTTTTGGTTTACCCACGGGTTTCTCCCAGGCGGTGTGCGCAGAGCTCAGTCACGTGCAATGGGGAATACCGCAGACACCAAATAACAAACGCGCAACCTTTTTTCTACGGTTTCGAAGATGGCCAGAGATGGCTGATATGTGGAATGTGTAAACAATTTGTGTGATCTTTTCTACGCTCAAACATACAGACCCAAACACCGTTCGCGGTTGACCCACTCTAAAAGATGGCGTGTGTAATGAGCGTATATTTCGAACTGGTCGTTCCGCGAACTGAAAATAGCAAAAGAATCAAATGATTTAGCGAAGGTCTCAATAGAATCAAACCAGAACATTTGCTGATAGATACAAGGTGCCTCGTGATCAAACTCTGGGAAACGACAACAAAGATACCATGTTGGACTTTCATCAGTGAGGTTAAACGTAATTGTTATATTTATGTGACCTCTATCGTTATTATTAAGTTTACATTATTTATTATGTTTTTGCTCAAACAGTATTTTATCTGCTGTTATTATCTAACTACACCTGGACTAGTACAAATATCACGCGGTATTTGTACCCGTCTATTGTAGTACCGGTTAAACAGGTTTTCTCGCATCGTGCAAGCGAAGAATTAGATTGTAGTTACAAAAAAAAAAAAAAGGCGGACAATTTGAATCATATTTCCGAAAACGAAGAGTCGGAATGGCTGGCAAATATAGGCCAAAGGTTATTAGATGAATCTAACGAAGAAGAACAGCTTCACGACCAGAAAATTTCTTCATTTAATGAAGAAAATAGAAACAGCAACATGACAACGCGCGAATTCCGTTCCGCTTCACATACTTCTGTCACGCACTCCTCGTAAATAAATATCCGCGAAATTCGCCCACTGAAATAACAGTTTGGCGTGTTGGATAATAAATAACTTATTAGATGTTTTGTTGTGTAGTATTGCTGAGTATTTTTAGGCGTTATTTGTATTTTGACTCGCCCTACAGGCTCGTCAAAGCACAACTCGTAAAAGGCACAACTCGTCAAAGCACAACTCGTAAGGCACAACTCGTAAAAATACTCAGCAATACTACACAACTAAACGTCTAATAAGATTTATTAAAAACTAGATCATTGGATGATGCAATTCAAGACTTTTTATCGGCTTAGCCATTATGGTATATCAGCCAATATACCAAAGTCTACAAATATGGCAAGCATATGTGTCAGCTTAAAATTAAAAGGGAGCTAAAAATTTAATAAAATTTAATAACTTAATTTAACATTTTTAATAAAACAATTATTCCCCTCACTCTTGTTGGATATGAGATGATTATGGCCAACTCAGCGCTATGCACCTCAATAGCTATCTATCATCTCGTATCCAACGCGCGCTCGCGGAATAATTGTTAAATATTTATTTTTCTGTTTGTTCCATTAGTTATGTCGCTTTTGTGCAAATATTAAATTCATGTATTTGTTATGCAGGAATGTTTGTTTGGTACCAAATAACGCGGTGTCAAATGAATGTGATGATGTATAATTTGGACAAAGTAGCGCCATATTTTCAACAAAAGTGTGACGAATCAGCATTTTGTGCACAACAAAATGATGTTGCAAAAGAAATAAAATATGCAAAAGAATTCAGATCTCGTTATGCAGTGTTTGTTAATTGTTGTGATATTAACAGTGGTGAGTACCATGTGCTAAGACGATTCAATCGTGAGCACAGCAGAATACCTGTAAAAAAAACTAGAAAAGCTTTCATGTAAAAACAAAAAAAAAGAAACTGGTGTGCAGGGGAATTCTTAAAAACATTCCTATCTCATCAAAAATGTATTGCTACATCAAATGCAGAGTTAGACAAAGGAGCAGTAATGACAGTATCAAGTTTGTATGAAAGATGAGAAAGAAATGGCATTCTGAACTGTCAAATTGAAAATTGTTTAGTTGTAGAGACTCTCTGAGCAAGCATCTATCTTTGTATAGCTGTAATACATTAACAAGTGTGTACAAGAATGCGAGCCACAGAGGTCATAGTGCTACACTGAATGTGTGCAATGACATTGAAACAAATTGAGGGTCTCCTATACATGATACTGATCCTATTCTAACAATCAAGGCACCATATAGTCAAGGGGATATTATGTACTTTGGTGAAAATGCTGGAAAACAATGTGTTGCTGTGAGTTTGATTGCTTGATATATAATAAGATAAAAGGAGTACATACCTGGTACAAATTTTGGAGATGGGTAATCGATTGGATTCAACACTGTCATGATGTACAGGGCAGTTGTATTTAATGCAAACAGAATTACTGCCAATAATTGCTTTGTCTGAGAAAAATTACTAGCATAAGTATAGTGAAAGCTACACTGGTAATCTACATTATTGTGATTCAATAATTGAGGAATATCAGTACAGTATGTCTACAGAAAGGGCTTTTGAATCACTCATGTCACAAAATTACTCTTCATTTATTCTGACAATAGAATGTAAACAGTGTCAGTATCTATCATACTGATAATTAACAATTATTCCACGAGCGCGCGTTGGATATGAGATGATAGATAGCCAACGAGGCGCGTAGCGCCGAGTTGGCTATAATCATCTCATATCCAACAACGCGAGTGGAATAATTGTTTTATAAAAAACCCTACATTAAATTATTAAATTTTATTAAATTTTTAGCTACCTTTCAATTCTAAGCTTATGCATACGCTTACCATATTGTAGTTCATGGTATATTGGCTCATATACCATAATGGATAAGCCAATGAAAAGTCTTGAATTGCATTATCCAATGATCCAGTTTTTAATAATAGGAGTTACAAGATATTTGATTCTCATGCAAGAGATGAATATGGTAGAAGCCATCCCTCAGGTACATGTGTACTATTAGTAGTACCATCTATTCAGGGCTTAGTACAGTATTTCCAGTCTATACACTCCCTCACTGACAATTATGAACTCAGAGGAGTGCAGTTAAGTACATATGAAATAACTGCAGTGAACAGTTTGAGAGAAGAACACAACCGCTCTTGTAAACAATGCTCTGCTGTAGGACTTAATATGCAATGTGTTACTCAGTAGCAAAGTCTTGTAGTTATTAGAATTCCAGAACCCTATGTTGCATAGTTGACCGAGGAAATGAATTATATTGTAACATGGGCGTCAACAGGCATCTAAAAAGGGAAGATTTATACACAAGTCTTAATATTTGTGGATTTGAGATATCAGTCCAAATTAAAACTCAAAAGCTATGGGATGTTGTCCAGTGGTTTAAACAATACAAAAAAAAAGTTGGAAAACTCAATTTTCAACAACTACAGTGGAAATACAGGGTTTTTGTTGTGGCTTGCAAGTTACTGTTAGGTATTACTTGTATTTTTCAACAAACAGTCAGAGCAAAGTACATGTTCTCCTTATTGACCTATGAAGATACTTGTAAACCTGCAATACAACAAATAAAAATAATTGGTATACCATCATTAGTACCAGCTATTTCTAACATTGTTACAAAGAAACTTAAACATATTCACTACAAAATACAGTTTTTGTCTTGCACATCTAACATGGACCTTCATCAATTCAAACACATGCAAAAGCACAGACAAAAATATGGTTATGATAATTTGGAACCTGCTCCAAAAATGAAAAGACTGCAACAGATAAATTCTAGAAACAAAATCAAATTCAAAGTTAGACAACAGCACAAGAGTGAGACAATCCCAGCTATTGATATCTGCATTAATTAATTCAAAGAGAAAATCAGGGGTGGTCCTTATTAGGTATGCTGTGTATACAATGTTTTCACGATGAAATATACTTCCTTGTGTTCAGACCATTACGATTACAATTTCACAATATATCTTTTTTAACACATGCATCAATTGGTATGTACTTATCACCCTTGGGAAGGGGGGACTCCTTAGATATAAAGGACTGGGGTGCTCGTTGTACCTTTTAGGGGTTAAAAAAGGTGGGTTTGGTAGCTCTTGGGCTGTTCAGCCTCAAAAGGTCCACAACAGCAGCTTCTGTGATACTTTTTAGGGTATTGCACCAAAATTATGTGACAGTGCGTTGTTGTAGAATTGGTGTGTCTCGGGGGTGAAAAACATTTTATGCCACGCCCACAAACCTGGACTTTGGTACCTCTTAGTATTTCTTTTAGAACCACTGCGCACCACGAATGGTCAACACTCATAACAGCACATCTACCTGTAGCCCGACGTACGATCTTGGATCGTCTTGTTTTATTGTATCCACCGCTAACCACCGACACTGAGGTAAATAGTTGTTTTAGTATATACTTACACAGTGAGATAATATACACCACCGTCGTTAATTTGAGTGATTTCTTCGCTTGTCACGGATGCAAACCGGGATGCCATTTTTCCCCGAGTTGCTCGGAGGTAAATAGCAAGGGATATTCGGAGTTTGACTAGCCAATCAGAGCGCGCATTCAACGCTATCCACTGTTATAGAGCTGACCAATGATCACCACTGGTGTTTTAAGTTTGGCCCCCGTCACGCGTGAGACATACGACTGAATGCGTGAATGCGCATTCAAGCGAAGCAAACGACAACTTCTTAACGCTGCATTCGATATTATGTTTGCAATAGACTGTACGTCTCCATTTTGGTCATCTATAATTTGAATTTGTGCTTTATGACTTTGGCTTGTGAAATGAGACGATTTAGCGCCTGACCATGACAAGGTTGGTTACACCACAGTTGGGTTCGATGTGTTCTTTTTTACTATGTGGAACTATTTGAAGGTAACATAATTCAAGACTTTGTATTTGGGATGCACTTATCTGCTGAGAAACGTGTCAGGAGATCCGAAATTAATTAATGGATTTGACTACAATTCGATTCCGCGTTAGAGCCTACAGCAATTTTGCTGTGTTTGTAGCGGTTGGTAGAACGTTTGGCAGAAGGAAAGGATTTCACGTGAAATCCACGAGAAATATTAGCAAATGATAGAAGCGCTTTATGCTCCATATGTTTATGCGAACGTGGATCAGTTGGGGTTGCTGACAGTAGAAACATAAGCTATTGTTTGATGTTTAAATAGTATTCCTAGCTTGGTAAGTTAAGTAGTTAAGTCGTTATCGCAACTTGTGTGTGTTGTTTATGCGTCTGTTTGTGTGTGAGCCTGGTTTAAAATTTGTTGTGATGTAATCACCTGGCCTCGTTAAGCTTAGGTGCTTCTGGGGAAAACAGTGAAAAACATTTTTAAATAAATTTAAAAGGAAACATAAGCTATCCAAATGTAACCGATTTGTGTTTTGTCACTGGCTACCGAAGCTCATGGTGCGAACAAGAATAATAGTATACATATTCATTTTCACTCTGATGTTGCATGATTTAAAACGTGAACAGGAGAACCTGGAAACGAAGCACTTATCAATGAATTTCGCCAAAAAATTTAACTTTGCGGGAACCAAACCTGCAGTCGCGCCAAAATAATCAGGTTTTTTAAGCGGATCATATCAATTCACGGGTAAGTTCATTCTGTTTTCTGGGGGCCTTTGGCTCCGTAATTGATGTTCTTTCCGCCTTTGAAGGAATTATTTACCCAAATAATATACACGGTATATGACGGCATGCCATTACGCGGGAGATTGCTGAGCACGAAAGAAGCGTAAGAGTAACCATAGTTAGTAACTATGGAGTAACGCGAGGCGATAGCCGAAAGCGACTCTAGCTTCTTGAGTGCTTAGCAAATCTCCCAGGTGCATCCATAACTCGATAGTGTACACTATGGCGTTTACCATTTGTTTTATAACATCAGATTGATACATTGTAGCAAAAGAGTTTTCTTCTATTTAACAAATCTTACGTGACCAGACAAAACAAGCGCGCGCAGAAAACTAGTGTTTGCATTTGCTCACGTCAGCAGCGTACACCCGTGGTCAAATGGTGGACACTGAATTGACCAATCAGAGCGCGTGGTTTACTTTGGTTATGTTAGAATTACGGCTGAAAACGTCATTATATCCAGGACACCCAGCCGGAAGAAGCTAATCAATGAAGGAATTCATTTATATTTTTTTCAACCCCCTGTGCAGTTGTTTTGATCCATTCAGCTTTTACATTGATGTCAGAAAAATCTTCAGGTAACAAAAAGAAAGTTTATTTTCGAATACGAATGCAAAAATTAGCGGCCACCACACGTGTCAACATCCACGTGTATCAGGATCACGTTTTTTGCTGTCCGGAGAATGGCCAAAAAAAAATTGCATGCACGTGCACAGCCATCGTTGTACGTTGTACTAAATAAGCTTCGTCTTGTTGTCGTCCCTACCACTAATTAGGGAGCAAAGCAAACCACCACTGCGACGGCAACGAGGACGTGAAAAACAAAAGATCTAATTGGTAGCGCAATAGCTCAGCACGTGCTTTTTAAAACTTTGTACATTTCTTAGCCGTCCTTCGCAAAACAACAACGGAAAATCACCAAAATTTGCGTCGTCTGCGAATGGAAACCGCGACGGCAAATTATTTTAATTTCCATTTGGAACTCAACGCTACTTTTATAAGTTAGGCTGAAGTTGAGCTGTGGCGCCGTATGAGACGGTAAACACATACAACCATTTAAAAAAATCTAATTAAAAGTAGAAATTCATTTTTTAATCGACGTCTTCCCTGTCGCTGCCATCCTGACTGCTTAAGGCCCCTCTTATTGTGGGGGCGAGCCCTAACACAGAGGTTTCCTTCAACCCTTCACTGCCAAGACCCCATCAGTAATTCTCCCCATTGTCTGCCGTACGATTCTTATGATGTTACTTTGGAGAATTCTAAATTGGATCAACTAGTAACTCCTGGTTGAGATTTTTTTTCTATTCTCATCACTTGTCTGCTTGATATTGTATTGATATTGGAAGGAGAAATTCTGTCTTGATCACTAAAAGTCGGTTACCGGCGTTTCATCACTGCCAAGAAGACTTCTCAACGCCTTCTGTTGAACCTGCGAGCAGGTTCTTGCGTTTGGGTTTAACCTTTTGGCGCAGGTGCCTATTACACCATCACCAGCCGCTCAGGGAAAAAAGTAATTAAAACCCCAATCTAACAAATCTTTGACTGCCACATCTTTTAACCGCCTCCCTGTTAGCTCAATCGATAGAGCGCTGGACTGATGTGCGGGAGGTCGAGGGTTCGAGCCCCGGCCGGACCAACACTCAAGGTCTTAAAATAATTGAGAAGAATATGCTGCCTTTCTATAACATCAAGAAATGGTTTAGATATTCTAGTCTTCTCGGATAGGGACGAATAAATGGAGGTCCCGTCTCCTGCAGGGTTAGGGGTAGGAGACGTTAATTTCCCACGCACGAGATTACTGTGTGATGGATGTCCTCCCCTGGGGTGGGATGGGTGGGTTGTTGTCTTGCGTTTCATACATGAGCCTCTGGCTAGGGCAATATGGGTAACCATGCCCCACGTAAAGACATTAAACTTTGATTACTATTACTATTACTACTATTATTGACGGTTTCTTGTTGTCTGCGCGAGGAAAATTAGAGCTAGCCTTAGACGTCACAAATTAATTAGGTATCTAATTTTATGCAAAGGGAAAACTTTGTTTGATTTTTTGACAACTAGTGCTGGTCGATTTCGTCTATCGAGTCGATAGAGCCTATTTTCGAAAACAGTAACGACAGAGAGCATTATTATGGAATCGTGAGGCTTTTCGCAGCTCATATTTTCGAGGACTGGGAAATTCTAGACGATCTTTTTGGCCTCCGCAGGAAATTTTTCTCAAGTCAATTTCGGCGTCCACCTGCTATGTGAAATTTGTTCCACGAGAGAAAGACAGGTACTCTACAATGTGACGAGTAAATTTTTTGATATTTTTTCGTGGTAACAGTTAGCCGTTCTTCGGTCAACACCAGAATATCCGAACAGAAGTGGGCTAGTCAGTCACAGATGTCGTCAGCCCTATCGTGGGGGCAACCCCAGGGAACCCAGGGGAATTTGTCAAACAGCCATCAAAATTACTTTTCAAGATCCTTGGGGCTGAGCTGAAACATTGTAACAATAGCCCCCATCCCTCGGGTCGTGTTGTATTCCAGCGTAAAGCAAAACATTTCATAGAGTCCTTTTTCCTGTAATCGTCACAAACAAGACAAAAAATACTCTGTAATAGCAGGATGGCTCGGGACTTCATCAACAACCAGCGAACTCTCTCAAAGAGAATTAATCTGCGACAATCATGGATCACCACTGACCAGTATGGGGACAAGCCATTGGCAAATCCCTTGGCCTCTTATGCCCCAGGCTCTGAAGCAGGGTTTTTATAACAAATCCCCAAGGGTTACCCGCGGTTGGCTGGGGGGGGGGGGGGCAACAACCCGGGATGGCTGCGTGGGTTTTTATCGGAAATTCCAAGACAAATCGTGCTCATACCAAATCAACTAACCTACCCTCCTGAGGAAGTAAAAAATTGGTTCCCCTACCGCAGTTCTAAGTTTATTTCGCCCTTCATTTCAGAATCCATTTCAATCTACTGCAGTATTGCGATTTCTCCGCGTAACTGACGTACTGCGTCAATCATCTACTTGGCCAGATGTCGTCTTACCTGTTACTGTGCAATAGGTTTCTCAACCTGGTTATCATTTTAACTCTCCTCACACCAGCGACTGTTAACTACTATCGAGCAACTTGGCATATGTTAGACTTATTCGTTTTTCCAAATGACAAACTTCTCAGTGCATCCTTCATTTTTACAGTGAGCTTTGGAACGTTATTCTTACTCATGCTGGTGGAAGATTATATTAAGGAGTCTTTAAATGCGAGAAGAGCGAAGGCAGTGTGGTATCGTGCCCTGTTTTTTCCTCTGGCGTTTTTAACTGTTGCAGCTTGGAAAGGTCTATGGATACTCTTAGATCTAATCACCACGCCATCTATTCCGAGTGCCTGTGTTTCGCACATAATAGGGCTTTTAGTTCTTGTATGTACAAGAACTACCTCTTCCATTGTTGCCATGCCGGGGTATTGTTTAAATGAAAGACACGCTAACCTACCCGAGAGTATTCTTCAAGGAAAGCATTGCGTAAGGAACAAGTCAAAAACGGTGTGCGGCGAAACCGCCGCAAGGATCTTCAATAGTTTCGTTACTGTGTTTATCATCGGAGGTGCAGTGGTGAACTATTGGCGAGGAACTTGGCTTATCATTTTGACCATAATACAATATCCTGACAACGATCTGATCCTATCTTCAATTTTACTGATTATCGTGGGATACAGTATATGGATTGTGTGTTATGTCCTCACAGAGTTCCTATCAACGATCCCAATGAATCCGCCTTATTCTATATTAAGCCATGCCTTGGAGCAGATCTTTGTGTACATATTGGCATTTGGAGTGGTGTCCTCTTGGGCAGGCATTTGGCTCCTTATGGATGCTTGTCTTCCATCAGGTAAGTCCATCGTATTGTAAGGAAGAAGGTAGCAACTTAAACGGAAACGTTGAAACCTATGGATATATACATGCGTGGATGTCTGTTCAGATTAATTTTGCTGGCTTTATCTGGCGGATTTTGAAGAGGATCCTTGAACGACTTCCAGCCAAGAGAGTGTCATGAAAGCATGGTAGTTAACAAAGAATTTATTTAATTGTATGTAATTCATTCTTTTACTTTCCTGGGATCAATGTATTGTGTTGTATTGTAGTGTACCTATTACGTAATCTGTATTCTTTACTTGCGTAACCCGTTTTGTAATTAACCTTTATCCAAGAGTTTTCTTTCCTTTTTCTGTCACCTTGCACCTTGGGTCCACATATATTTAAGACTTTTAGGTGGTTACGGTTGGAGAGGTTTTATTAGTTTTGAGCGAGGGGCGTTGGGAAATTGAAAGGAACAGAGACTCGTTCAAGATCAGAGCACATTATCATCTCTGAAAAGTCATTCAGATAACCGTTCTATTTCATGACAAAGAATCCATTTGCCGAGGAACGTATGTGCGCAGAGAAGCTGTCAAACAGTAAGCTGACGAAGAAGTGATTATAACTGAATTAAGAAGAAAAGTCCGAACGAAGGTCAAATTACGAGAAGTTTTCTGAGCGAAGAGGGGAAGTACGCAAAGTTGGAAACTGGTGAAACGGGAGATTGGTTCGTGAAACGGGAGGTTGGTTTGTGAAACGGAAATTTGGTTTATCAGTACGTAGTTTGTTGGTGGATCGTGGGAGAGTTGAGAACACGGACGCAAGGCGAACCGAACTGAACTAGTAAAAACTTATTTTTTTTATTTAATAATACTCTTGTAAATAGATTTAGCGTACGTACTCTAATTTTAAATTATGATATTCCCGTAAATTAATTAAGGTAAATAATTTAGCTTATTGTATTATCGTGATTGTTAGTTACTGTTATTTTCTTATCAAATATTTGTAGGCTTACGTTTGGTTGTGGCGTGCTTTCTCGGGTTTGTTTATGCCTGGTGTTTTTTTTTGTGTGTGTGTGTTAGAGGGCGTCTACCTTTGTGGCGCGGTATCGTCACAGAAAGGCAGCGCCTTGTATTTAGTCCGCTGTTTGTGTCACCAAGTTATTTTGATACGCTTTTCTTTTGTATATTTTCAGATCGCCCAGTAGCTAGTGCACTGATCGGCCATTTTGTATCAATCGCTGTCCTTTACGTTTTACAAGCTTGCATTAATTTAATTGGCTCGCCCACTGGGTGTACAGTTCACAGCAGTGAAAAGCTCGACGGCTTTGATATGGGAGGTTATCTCGAAAAGCCTCATGGTACAGAACATGAAAAACAGCCGGAAAACTCGGTAATAAAAGAAGGGAATGAACCAAGAAACTACGAAAGCTTGACCCTGAGTTGATCCGTAATTGCGAATCCACTGAGCTCAATAAGTAAGTAGCTTTGATTCATGTAAATTTTTTCAAAAGTCCGCTCGAAAAAATTCAGAAATTTAGGGTGCTGATGATATTACCTCGCCGGTGCTGAGCGGTTTTGTTTGTAGGTGTTCGATCTTGAAGGCGGCCCGAGTAGCGAAACAGAGTGGCCGGCGTTGATTAGCAAGCGAAATGACTGGTGACTATAAGTAGATTTGAGTAGACGCTTTAAGAGCCACAGACCATAAACATAGAGAATCCGCCGACAGTTACAAAATTTGGTAATTCATTTAATTTTTTCTAAAGGACCCTTTTAATGAACCTTTTTCGAAAATTATACCAAAAAGTTCCATCGCGCTTTTTTTCCTTCGAAAAGTTCAAAATACGCCTAAATGGCCGTTGTCCCCCCGTAAAGCAATAAGAAATTATGCAACTATGGCAACCTCGTACGCTTCAATACGACGCAATCCTGCTTTTAAATTTTGTATGCTCGCAGATGGTCCTTTTATCTCTTGGAAATATTAGTTTCTTGTTATGTTGTTACGTTTATTAGTCTAAATAGTGACCCGGTGAAATAAAGTACTTCGCGTCTCTTTCGTGGAGGTGAAATAAAGGTCAGCTTCAGTGGCCTATGAACAGGTCTGCCATGTATACTTAAAAATCATAATATACATCATCTTAAAGCTTTATCCCTGTATTTTAATTCCTCCAATTCTCTATCTTGGCCCGCCATAAGCGGCACGTCCAGGTTTAATAGACTTTGGGCTATTTTGTCAAAAATGTAATGCGAACCGCTGAACAGCTGTCATGACCCATTTGAAGGCCTTTAAAAAGGTCATGTATGATATATTTACAAATCAAAATAGATATGATCTTAAAGCTTTATCCTTGTAGTTTAATTCTTCAAATTTTTTTTTCTTGGCACGCCATAGGCGGCGCGTCCAGCTTGAAAAGAGTTCGAGCTAAAAAATTACAAAAATTGTAATGCGATCCGTTGAACGGCTGTTGAGCGGGATTGCATCGCGTTGTAGCGTACGAAATTGCCAAAGTTTCATAATTTTTTATTGCTTTACGGGGGGGACAACGGCTATTTAGGCGTATTTTGTCCGCACTAAAATCGTTTTTATGGCCAAACTTTCGTACCCCCATTCAAAATGTTGAGAAAAAGCTGTGACTACCATAGGATTTAAAATCGATTTACTAAGAGCAAATATTTAGTACATGTATTCAGAAAACAATAAACAGACTATGAGAGTGTTTTTTCCATGCAAGTAAGAAAACTTTTGAACCATCAGAAACTAGGTCTGCTGACTTTTTGTCGTTTCACTTACTGCGAGGACATTCCTTACGAGATCAAAGGTGTACAACGGCTTGAAAATATCTTCCCAGAGCAGCAGTGCAGTTTCTGGCTCGATTGTTTGCCATTTCACGTTAGATTCAAATTTCTTGAACCCGGTAGACATTTCATCTTTAATTCTTGCAGTCTTTTTTTCTGCTGTCATCAAGGGTGCCTCTTCTGTTTTTTCCTTGAAAGGCGTTGTTTTGATTAAAAAGGTATCCGTCCTCTTCAACGTTTGCTTTCTTCTGTTTGAAGCCGTAACGTTTGCCTTTGCCTTTGCCCCGTTTACTCATTTTCACCAACACTCCTCCGAGTCGGCCATGTGCGGAGTAAACATTTTCCGTGTAGAACGCATATTTAATTATGAGGAAGAGATTCCGTCGCTTGACAAAAGACTAATTGGTGGTTTGTTTCGGTAAACAACAAAGGATTACATTAAATGAAAATATCTCAAAAATGATCTTAACTCCTGGTCCGTTCCATTTCCAGTGCTCGTGATGCAAAACGTGGGAAGCAGTACTTGGTGGCCCCGCACGTGCAATGCTCGTGGAGTTTTCACTATTGGAATATGCATGGAAATGTTGTCAAATAAATAGACTTTTTTGTCTCAGTTCTCTCCGAATGCCATAAATTTAAGTTAACAAAAGACCAACATTTTTCGTTTATTTAATATTTTTTTAACTCACACAAAACTGTACTCTCGCAAGACACCTGATTACAGCGAATGAGGCTGACTGAGGCAGGCCGAACTAGTAAGAACGTAGTAAGGTTTCTGTGTGGCAGGAATCCCCTAATTGCATAAGAGTGTAGATGGTTTTTCATATCAGAACACAATAATTAGCAAAAATTATGATAGAGCCTTTTGTGATTAATTAGTGGTCATAAGCAGAAAGATGTAGTAGAGACGAGAAAAAACATTTTTCTCGTTCTTCTATGAGTAAATGGTTCATCTCCTAACATTAAATAACGCAATTCCCCTGAAAAGTGTTTGTTGAAATAATCAGTCCCTGACAATCTGTAACAAGTGATGAAAGAACGCATTTCGAAATCACATGATCGCAATTGGCCGAACAAAACAACGATAGTTATCACACGGAACCAGTCAGAACTCAGATGGTATGAAAAGTGACTAGACTGATGTAAAACTCTGGAATCTTCTCAACATTTTAAACGTTCTAATTGCGGTGTTATGATTGCTGTTTCCGTAGGGAACAAGCAAGTTTAGACGACCTTGTAAAATATTTGAATCATTATTGTTCTCCTTGATTATTCGATCTTGGGAAATCAGAAAAACAGCTAAGTCGAACTGAATACAAAGGTGGCCTTTTGTAACAGAACCCAGATATTAATACCATAAATTAACATAAACAAAACAACCAAAAACTACTTCAGTCTGTGAAGGATCGTAATCCGGAGACGTATCAATTTAACCTAAGGTTATAATTTCAATATATCAAAAAAGTTGAAATGGTAAATTGGCCACCGTTAAGATTATAAAAGCTGACGTTTCGAGCGTTAGCCCTTCGTCGGAGGTTAGCCTAATTTCATAGTTCAAGTCAGCGCATTACAGCCACTCGTGACGTGGTCCAGTGATATTAAAAACTAGTTGGAATATAATGGTGACAATAGGTTCATGGCTCAAATCATTGTTCTAATCAAAGTAATGTCAGTCATAGTTAAAAGAAATCGTTTAATTAACTGTCAGTAGGTTGCAACGCCTATTTGTTAACGGAACAGTAATGATACGGCCATACTTGAAGAACCATGTTCAACCAGAATGCGGGCGAAGTTGCCACTGGCGGCAGCATTAACTGTTTTACAGAAACAGCTAACTCTTTGCAATTTTGATCGAGAACGGCTTTTTCTTCTCTCATTTAGTCTCTTAAAGGGTCTATCGCCTATTTGCTCCGTTTTCAAGTTTTTGACGGAAAGAAGCCATCGAAAAGAAGTCGTCCTGCACGGAAGGAAAACCGCCATATTACATGGATCATTAAATTAGCTATAAAAACTTGGAATGAGCAAAAGACAACTTTACTAGGATTTGGCAAGAAAACGAACAGCGAGTTCCCAGAGGCCCTCCTTAACCGCATTTCGAAGGAAAGTCAAAAAGAAAGCTCATCTCGGCACCAGGGTGACCGTCAGGCGAGGAAACGTTAACGAGGAATCGCAAGCGTAAGCGGTTATCCTTTCTCTCCAGGTAAAATTAAAACAGAGATATATTTCTCCAAAGATTCATCTAGGTTTCCCTTATTCATCTCTTCCCACATCATTTAAATCTAAAGGTAGAACATTAACGGATTCAATGGAGATCGCTGACAGATTCTGCAAATACTTTACAAACATTGGTCCCAACCTAGCTACCGTGAATCCTTCTTTTCGTTCTTATCTCGGTTACAACAAACATCTCTCCATTAACTTAAAGCCCACCACAACTAGTGAACTGGAGAGTATTTGTAGCATGTTCGCTTCAAAGAAAGCTCCTGGCTCTGACAGTATCCCAATGCATGTCATTAACTATTCATTTCACCTTATTTCTGCCGCCCCTTTGGCAGATATCATCAATACATCTTTACTAAAAGGTATTTTCCCGGACAAACTTAAAATCGCTAAAATCATTCCCATTTTCAAGGCAGAGGATCCTAGCTTTTTTGTAAACTACAGACCCATTTCTTTGTTGTCAAATTTTTCCAAATTTTTCGAAAAAGTCATATACAATCGCTTAGTAGAATTTGCCGAAAAACACGATATACTTTACCGCTGTCAGTTCGGATTTCGGAAAAATCACTCAACATCGCACGCGCTAATTCATTTGGTAAACAAACTTGCATCTGCAATCGACCAACACCAAACAACGGTGGGTGTTTTCCTAGATCTTTCCAAAGCATTCAACACTCTCGAGCACCAAATCTTGTTTGCCAAATTGGAGCACCATGGTATCCGTGACGTGGCTATGCAGTGGTTTAAAAGCTACTTTTCTTTCCGCCAGAAATTTGTCCAATTCAATCAAGCTTGCTCTCCGATGCAAACCATCAAGGGTGGTGTCCCTCAAGGTTCGATTTTAGGCCCACTATTGTTTGTTCTATACATTAATGACCTTCCTAATGCCTCTGAATTATCAGACCCTCTACTTTTCGCTAATGACACCAGTATCTTTAATTCTCACTCAAATCTAAATTGCTTAGAATCCATACTTAATGATGAACTCCAAAACATTGACGTTTGGCTAAAATGTAACAAGCTTTCAGTTAGTGTAAAGAAAACCAACTATATAGTTTTTAAACCCAGACAGAAGAAATTTAACTCAGCATTTCTCTCTCCTTTGGAGGTAAACCTCTACAACAAGGTAAAGTAACTAAATTCCTTGGGGTCTATATTGACAATCATCTCACCTGGAAATACCATATCAACTATGTATGTAAACAAATCGCTAAATCAATAGGTATTATATTTAGGTCTCGCTTTTCCCTATCCTCTGCAACCAAGCTCACTTTGTATTACACCTTAGTTTATCCTTATATCGTTTATTGTAACTCCGTCTGGTCGTCCACATACGTATCTAACTTAAATAGAATTTACTATTTGCAATCGATTAAAGTTCTTGAGTTTTGGGTGATCCTTGTGGGCTCGTTGATTAATTTCTTTAAATTTAGAAGATTCATGGTACGCTGGAAATGTTTTGTTGTCGCATTTGGTGAGATGTAGTCAAAGTTAAAATCACCGAGAAGGACTATTTGTATTACACCTTAGTTTATCCTTATATCGTTTATTGTAACTCCGTCTGGTCGTCCACATACGTATCTAACTTAAATAGAATTTATTATTTGCAAAAGCGAGCTGTGCGGGCTATCACCAACTCAGACTATCGAGACCACTCTGCCCCTTTATTCTCCAAACTAGGAATTTTAGATATTTTCCAAGTCAATACGTTTGAAATCGCTAAATTTATGTTTTATTTCAAAAATAACTTATTGCCCCCATTGCTTCTCGATCTTTTTGTAAGGAATAGCCAAATTCACAACTATGGTACCAGAACAGCCAGTAATTATCGAACGCATTTGTGCCGTACAAATGTCAAGCAGTTTACAATTCTCTACCAAGGTCCTAAAATTTGGAACTCTCTCCCTATTTCAGTCACTCGTTCGTCAAACTTTCTCAGCTTTAAAGCGAAATTGCAAGAGTTTTTACTTAAATAATCACTGAATTGGCCAAGCCGCACATTCGCAGCACTTTTTCTTTACTTAATTTATTATTGTAAGTGAGGTGGCTCTCCCATAAGCCTGGTGGCTTCTTGGGTCTCCTCGCCTTCTAACTGTTATCGCTGCAATTAACTATTTTTAATTGTTAAAATAAGGCAAATAAAGATGATGATGATGATGATGATGATGATGATGATATTCTTTAAGAACAGTGGTGAATTCCATGCACGAACTACCGGCTAAGCTTGTTCAGGAATCCATTACATGATTAGCCAGTTACTCTAACCGTAAAGAACTCAGTAATGAAAGTAAATAAGGGCAAAGCTGCATCAATAACTGACATGTGTCTTTATTAGCACTTATCCGAATCGTGCGCCCGAATTATTAGAGGACATGTCACTCATCCGCTACGCAGCTAAACTCCATAAGGGATTAGGGGCGTGTACGATATTAAGTTTAGGCAGAAGGCCAGTGCCAATAATACCTTCCCCTCCCTTCCAAAGGAAGAAATCAGGGTTTCCAGCTAGGACTCTCACCAGCGAGTGCTTTTCAAGGGAGACGGAACACCGTATTTGTCACAACTTCACCAGGGGTACCCTGTGCCAGAACCCCCTGCATCTACCACAAATGCAACAAGTCTGGGTGAGGGAAAAATGTACCTGGGATCAAGTGTCCCAGTCCCTCTGGAACAGCGAAGGAAAGGGTGTGGTTACTCCTGTAAATATTCCAGCGTTATGTTAAGCTTTATCTAATCATTCCGTAAAGGAATTTGTCAACAAGTTATACTCGGATCTGAGGGAGGGGTATAGGATTGGGTATTCTAACCTTCGTTTATCCAATAGTTCACCTACTGCTTGCTTGAATTCTGAAGCGGTTTCAGCGAATCTAGCCGGCGAGGTTTCCAATGGGGGTACTATGGGTCCCCTTCCCTCGCCCCCCTTTAGGAATTTTCAAGTTTCCCCTACTGGGCTTGTTCCCGAAAAATCATTGACAGAAATCCAGAACAATATTCCATTGTCCTTCCTAAGTCTGGGACCTCCACCATCAACTATTTTATTGAAAATGATGACTTCTGCCTCCATTTGTCATGACAATGCCTTTGTAGCCATTCAGAAATTTTGCCTAGGCTGCTAAATGGCTAAAACAGACATGGAGTCAGCTTTTCGGCTCTTTCCGGTCCATCTGGATGACTGGGAAATTTTCGGAATCTTTTGGAATGGACAGTATAGCTCTGACAAAGTATCCCCCTTTGGTCTTCGCTCTGTCCCGTTCATTTTTAATCAACTATCCGATGCCATTCAGTGGATCCTACTGAACCAGTGCACCATCTCCTTTGTTTGTCACATCATAGATGATATAGAAAGATGTTTGTTTGTCTCTAGTCACGAGCGTGGGAGAAAGAACAAATTCTGAGTCTTCATGAGGAATCGAACCTCAGACCTTTGGATTCTGTGCTCTGATGCTCTACCACTGAGTAACAGAGACTCTATGGTGAGCAAGGCCCATTACGAAGTTCATATTTGACACGCTTCCTGCGTGCATACATACATACATACATACTTTATTGACTTTCCCCAAGGAGGCTTTTCAAAGACAATGTTATAAAAATATTCCTATTACAATTAAAAATGTTTTAAATGTACAAAATTGTTTTAATTTACAATTAAAAATGTTTTAAAATCTGAATGTTCTAAAAGAAAAATAAAAGTATACAAATATATATGTAAAATTACAACTCTTTGAGTAATTTGGTACTTAAACGTTTTTTAAAAACATTAACGGAGTTGCACAGTTTACAGGAATTATCCAAAGAATTCCATAAGTTTACAGTTCTATAGAAAAATGTTCTCTGACCGCTAGCTGTTCTAAAGAATGGAATTTGCAAAAGCTGCGAATTTCTGGTGCTACGTCGACTAACCTCGGCTCGCTTTATGAATTTTGATGAGAGGTATTCTGGGGCCTGACCAGTCATGCATCTAAAGGCCATAGTAGCGTTCCGGTAGTAAAGCTGGCTTTGAACTGAAAGCCAATTTAGTTCCTTGCGAATTGGTGTAACGTGGTCAAATTTACGCGCACCGCTAACAATGCGGCATGCGAAGTTCTGCACCGCCTGTAACTTGTTAACATTACATTTTGAGGTATTTGACCAAACATTGGAACAATAAAATAACCTGCTGAAAACTAAGGAATTAATAATCATCAAAAGTGTACGTTTGTCGAAAACATGCTTGACACGGTTTATTTGGCCGAGGCGGGACATGCACGAGGAAGCGGTCTTAATTATGTGTTCATCGTAAGTTAAATTAGAATCCAAAATCACACCAAGGTCTTTGGCGGTGTCTGCGGGGACGATGTCCTCACCCATAAAGGAAAGGGAGCGAAATTGCAATTTTGCACGCATCTGCCTGCTGCCAAATATCATCAGCTTGGTTTTGCCAGGGTTAAGTAACAATTGGTTGTTGGAACACCATTCTCCTATTTTAAACAAGTCGTCTTCCAAATCAGCAATTGCATCCAGGTTGTCTTTAAGTTCGAAGGAAGTGATGAGTTTCGTATCATCTACATAACTCTGAGTGCTGCATTTCTGTGGGATCGATGGAAGATCGTTCGTATATATGCTAAATAGTAGTGGGCCTAAGATACTTCCTTGAGGGACGCCGTTGGTCACAGACAAAGGCTCAGATAGCGTTGAATGGATTCGTACTATTTGTGTCCTGTTGCTTAGGTAACTACGAAACCATTGGAGAGCGTCACTGGAAATTCCGACATCTTGCAATTTTAAAATTAACGTGTCGTGATTGACGCTATCGAAGGCTTTGCTCATATGCGCATGCGTGCCGCTAGGATCGACAATGTCGAAAGCGTCATGTTTTGTAAAGAATATGAAAGATGGTAAGTTTTGAGCTCAGTAAAGAAATGTAGAAAGATGTTTTGCGCCTGGTCACGAGTGTGAGACAAAGAAAACATTCTGAGTCCTCATGAGGAATCGAACCTTAGATGATTTCTTCATGGTGGAACCACTTTGCCCCACCCCACCTGTGGATTATCTTTGCCGGGAAAGTCTCTCCAGTATGATCTTCACTTTTAAAAATTTGAATATCCCCATCTCAGCATCTATAACTGATTGACCCTTTCAAGTTCTTCAATTCATGGGTATCGCACTGGATTCTGAGAAAATGGAAGGAAGGCGACCCAAGAACAAGGTTGATAAGATCAAATCTGCTTCTTCCACTTTTCAATCTCAGCGGTCAACAACACTTCAGGAACTTCAATCGTTGATAGGCATTCTGAGCTTTGCATGCAAGAACTTCAATCATTGATAGGCATTCTGAGCTTGCATGTAAGAACTTCAATCATTGATAGGCATTCTGAGCTTTGCATGCAAGAACTTCAATCATTGATAGGCATTCTGAGCTTGCATGCAAGAACTTCAATCATTGATAGGCATTCTGAGCTTTGCATGCGAGGTCTCCTCCCCATTCCTACTCTCATATGTAAGAACCAGTCAAAATTCGTGTAGGATTCAGCGCTAGCTTATCATATAAATGCTTGTAGATAGACATCACTAACGCATTACAACTTTTGAATGTTCATTGTCTTGCTTTATTTAACCTGCAGCGTAATCAGTTAACACAGTCTCGACACTACTTACTTAAACTTTCAAACCAAGTTCAGTACAATATTCTTTACAATGAAGCTGACTGAAAAAACACCAACAAACTCCTAAAAAATCCTGGGATGATTTGAAAACTCATTTGCTTGAGACCTACAAACTACTGACTATGGAAAAAGTTGAAAGTCAAAAAACGCTAAAGTGTACCAATACTCTTAAAATGTTCCACAGATAAGACCCGAGACAAGTCAAAACTAATTTTTACTACTTCCTCTCCATATTAAACATAGAAACAACTGATGCAAAATGCAGTCGGTAGAGACTTTTGCCACAAGAAAAAAAGGTAACCAAAAGAAGACAAATACATAAACGAAATAAGAAGGAATAGTAGGAGCAGAGGTGAGAAATAAAAAGAGATTTAAACATACAGTGGAAAAGATGACTTTTTTTGCGCACCTAAAAAATCCATTAGTTCATCTATTACATCCGATTTGTACTGTAATATTTTGGTGTAAAAGAAAACAAAGGCTGACAAAAACAAACTAACTAACCAACATAAAAAAGCCTGAAGCCTAAACTTCGAAAAGTTGATTCGTCAGAAAAACACGTTGTTGCTTTCCTTAAAACCACTCTCCTAAAGAAGGTAATATAATAAAAAAAATCTGATTTCAATCTGTATAAGCAAGACTTTCACTAAAATAGTGCGATGCAAATAACTCAATTGTTCCTTTTGTTTTGTTTTTTTTTAATACCGTTTTGGATTTTTTTTAAAATTTGTGTATTTGAAAATAGTTGCGACAAGAGGACAGTGGATACGTCACAGTCTCTAGATATAACGTAGTGTTTTTTCATTAGAAGTAGTGAATTTTACTGGATTAAAATCTTTGTTCAATTAAATGAAATGTACTAACTCTATCAAAAAGAAGAAAAAAGGGAGAATTTCTGTCTCTTCTACATTACTGGCGGTTTTATTTTCATGTATAGAGATACAACTGAAAAAGAACCAAAAACTAAGAAAACAAAACAAAAACGTCAAAACAAATAGAAGGAACAAGGTATTTGCATCGCACTACCTTTACCCTACTCAAACTATTTTTGGGAAGTTATCGTCAACATCGTAATCCGAGGGATATCATGAAATAGTGACCTCCCCTTCTTCTTCTCTACTTGCATCCACATTCAGTTATAGTGTAGATCTTCTTTTCTTCGTGATCGCCAGTGTGAACATATTCTGTAGTGTAGTTGGTAGCGATACAGGTTCTCTCGCGATAAACCAGGCAATTATCGTCACAATACTTGTTCCTGTATAGAAATAAAATGATAAATGAATGAGTTGGCAGGTTAATGGTTGTCCGGGTCGGACACATATAGCGGCGTCGATGTCGAATAACAACAGAACAGCTCATTAAACCAACGAATTTAATGACGGCGAAGAATTCCAATGTTTACAAAACCATCCGGTCGCTCTTTCATCATAAATTACGAGACTCAGGGAGCCATAAAAACCACATGATGAAAGGCGGTAAACGAAAGAAAAGAAACAGTTTCACGTACCTAAATTATTTACAAGCGCTTCACCACGTGCGTAAAAGGGGGGCCAAAAATAAAAATTACTACTGAAGGATTGTGGTCTACGTGACATACAAAAAAATGAAGAACGGAACGGAACAGACTGACATAAAACCTTGTTGAGGAATAGCCGCAACAATGGTGACGTCATTTATGCGTCTGTCTTCCAACAGATCAAAAGTAAGAACCAATCAAAATGCTAGTATCATTCTGCCTATCATAGCATTATTAATTCTTCTTTCAAATGGTTTTCGACCGCTGCCACAGACTCCGTCAACGAACTTCATAAAATTGCCTCAGTATATAAATTGCATGGAATGCAACGACTTACCCGAAGAAACAGCGAATACAGTCCCTCGGGCAACCAGTACCGACGCACATTCCAACGTCTTTTTCCTGAAAAAAAAAACTTAATACTGGAAGAGGGAAATATCTGTCGATCTTTACATGTCAATGTATTTACACGTATGCTTAAAATTTTGAATCGTTTTTTTCTGTTTGCGCGTATTTACATAGCTCAAGAGAATCATATTCTCTTGCATAAATCTTTCATTCTTTTTTTATGTTACTCAGTATGTTTTGTTTATTTAACCTTTAATAATGGTTTTTCATTTAAGAGGAGTAAATATTTTTCGGTACAGCTTCTTAATCATCAAACTCTCAAGGGTTGCGTATTGTCATCATTTTTTCTTTATGATGTATCAGTACAATATAAGAAAGTTACATGTTCAACCATCCATGTTTTTATTTCGTCCTTTTCTTATTCATTACTATTTCATTTATTTCTAGCTCTATTTACTTCGTAATTTTTTCAGCTGCTTGGTTTATCATCCGATCGTCGAATGATATGACGCTTTGCGGAAGACTCCGCTTGACTATTGCATTTTTGCAAAGTGTTAAGGCGCTGGTTTAAATAAAAATATTCGGCAACCATTTTTAAAAGATCGGGTAAATGAATAAATCAATTACTGAACTATTGCACATTCTTAAATTGTGTTGTGGCAACGGTTTCTGGTTGTGATTCAAAGTACACACGAGTATTCACGAGTGACTATGGCCACTCACGTACACTTATAGACACGACTGTCGTTTCTAAATTATATTTGGCACGTCACGTTACTGAAAAATGCTTTAGAATCAACGTCGCACAAGGGACATAATTTATTTTTCTCACAATTATTGCAATTGTCATCAGTGATCTTTAAATTATGATCTCTGTTATCAGTCACTTTCTTGTGACATTTCTTTGCTTATTCTCTTTATTACATACCTCTTGGATCCACGCTTTACCCGTCTTCCTCTTGAAAACTTCACGAAACGCAACGCGATGGCAAATTGGGTTCACACAACCACACTTCTTAATAACACGAACAGTTAGTTCCCCTTCTCCTATTTAGAAACAAGTAATCAATTCAAGTGTACCTGCATGACCTTAAGCAATGTGAGATGTTCACACTTTATATCTATATAAATATCCTACCATTTGGCCCTTTTATGCCAATCATTACGCTGTCAATGGCTTTGCAGGCATGTCCACTGTTTCCACAAGAGCCAAGGCAGACACCTGTATCATGACGACGACTGTATGATGTTCCGTTAAAGAAGGATTTGAACAAAGCTTGGCGACTGCAGCCGCCAGAGGTATGTTGATAGCCACACTTGGAAATGGCGGTCTTGTACTTTGACTCACCAATGAGGGGATAACTTCTGCTGGTCAGCTCAGTTGGGTTACAGGAAGAAGAACCATAGGACATCTTCTATGATCAAATCAGATTTTTTTTAAAGGTTTATTAAGTAGGTTTAACTCACTTTTAGTGCTAAGAAAGCCTTTTGTGCCACTCTGTGGCATGGAAACTGCGCTGAGTTCTTTTATGAAAGAGATATTTTTTAGCATTTGAAATATGCTGAAAGAGGTCGGATACCTTTCATTTCAAAAAATTTTTTGAAATTCGTTTCTCTAATTCATTAATAATTCATGAGTGCAGCAACCAACAAATAATGCGTATTTGGGTCTCATGCACGAACCTTGATACCCAATGAACACTCAGATGCAAATCTTAATTAAGGGTTTTGATCTGAGTTGAAACATAGTTTAGATCTCAGATCAAACACTTGCATTTTAATGAGCATTTTTCAATCATTAATACACCGTTAACAACATTTCCAAAAATGACCTGAGATTTATTTGATATAATTAACCCTGATTTTCACAGAACAGTTGGAAAGAAAACAGCTATTACGTGAACTTGCAGTCACATATTCGTGAAAATCAGAACTCTCCAAACAACTTGACTCCTCTTTCTGTTTAGTAATAGCAACTTCAGATGTACTAGTACTAGTTCTTAGTCCTAATACTGTGGAAACTTCTCTAATTTTCTCATCGCCAGCCTTTTCATACTTAAACAAAGAGTCCGACCGGTGTTCAGTTCTAGCTATTATTAATTTCTCTTTTACACCTGCATTTAAAAAACAACGACGATGCCCAAGTAACACCAAGACTATGACTCGTCTTTCGCGTTAAACCTACTTTTTTGCGCATTATTGGCAAACTCTCGTTTAGTTTGTTGACACGAACAGGAACTTTCTTATAACTAAGCTTCGACTTGGACGGCCTAAAGTAGAATGCAATACAATCTTCAACTCTTGTTCCACCAACACAATAGATAACTTATAAAATTTTGAAAAACACATCACTCTTCCGACTGTCTAATAGGTTTACAAATATGTTTAACAACCTTGGGTATATACTTAGTTTAGTTGACGAGAGAACAGCTTTTTCGACTAACTCGTAAACCTTTTGCGGCTCCTTAGATCTTGCCGCTCCATCTACACTCATGGTCACACATGTTAATAGATCCATTATTACCATCACGAATATAAAACAAGGTTCTACGCTATCTAAGTGAAAAAAAACCAACGCTTGTTATGTAACACAATCTAGAATAAAGTGTAGTAGGTGTAGTTTAGTGTACTTTGGTGTTGTAGGTGTAGAAGATGTCGTAGGTGTAGTTTGGTGTACTTTGGTGTTGTAGGTGTAGAAGATGTAGTAGGTGTAGTTTGGTGTAGTAGGTGCAGTAGATGTAGTAAGTGTAGTTTGGTGTAGTAACTGTAGAAGATGCAGTAGGTGTAGCAGGTGTAGTAAGTGTAGTTTGATCTAGTAGGTGTAGTTTGGTGTAGTTTAATGTAGTAGTTGTAGTAGGTGTAGTAAGTGTAGTTTAGTGTAGTTTGGTGTAGTAGGTGTAGTAGGTGTAGTAGGTGTAGTTAGTGTCGTTTAGTGTAGTTTGGTGAAGCTTGGTGAAGTAGGTGTAGATTGGTGGTTTAGTGGTAGTTGAGTGTAATAAGTGTAGTTTCATGTAGCAGTCATAGTTTGGTTTAGTAGGTGTAGTAGGTGTATTTTGGTGTAGTAGGTGTAGTGGCTGTTTGATTACTACACCAAATTACACCTACTACACCAAACTACCCCTAGTACATCAAACTACACCTACTACATAAAACTACACCTACTACATAAAACTACACCTACTACATAAAACTATGTTAAACTACCCCTTCTACACCAAACTACACAAAAGTACACCAAACTACGCCTATTACGCCAAACTATATCTACAACACCTAATACACCAAACTACACCAAACTACACCTACTACATTAAGCTACACCTACTACACCAAACCACACCAAACTACACCTAATACATTAAAAAACACCTACTATACCAAACTACAGCTACCACACTAAATTACACCGAAGTACACCTAACACACCAAACTATATCTACCACACCAAATTACACGAAACTACACCTACTACATCAACTACGCCAAACCGCACCTACTACACCTACTACACCTACTGCACCAAAATACACCAACTACACCAAACTACACCTACTACACCAGACTACACCTACCACACCAATATACACCTACTGCAATAAACTACACCACATTACACCTACTACATCAAACTACACCTACTACACCAAACCACACCTACTACACCAAACTACACCTAATATACAGAACAACCCCTAATACACCAAACTACACCTATTACACTAAACTAAACATGCCACACCAAACAACAACTACTACAACTGCTACACCAAACTACAACTACTACACCAAACTACACCTACTACACCAAACTACACCTACTACACCAAACTACACTAAACTACACCTACTACACCAAACTACACCTACAACACCAAACTACACCTCATATACACAACAACCCCTACTACACCAAACTACACGTATCACACTAAAGTAAACATGCTACACCAAACAACACCTGCTACAGCAACTACACCAAACTACAACTACTACACCAAACTACACCTACTACACCAAACTACATTAAACTACTTTCGCTCTGACGAAGGGCTAACGCTCGAAACGTCAGCTTTTGTAATCGTTACAGTGGCCAATTTACCATTTCAACTTTGTTGATATATCCAAATTAATACACTAAACTACACCTACTACACCAAACTATACTAAGTTACACCTACTACACCAAACTACTCCTACTACACCTACCACACCAAACTAAACTGAACTACGCCTGCCACACCAAACTACACTAAAATACACCTATTGCACCAAACTACTCTTAGTACACCTACTACACCAAACTACACCACACTACACCTCATATACGGAACAATCCCTACCACACCAAACGGCATCTACTACACTTAACTACACCTACTACACCCACTACGCCAAACTACACCTACTACATTACACTACACAAAACTATACTTACTACACTAAAACACACCTACTACACCAAACTACACCTACTACACCTACTGCACCAAAATACACCAAATACACCAAACTACACTAAATTATACTTACTACACCAAACTCCACCTACTCCACCTACTACACCTACCACACCAAACTAAACTGAACTACGCCTGCCACACCAAACTACACTAAAATACACCTACTGCACCAAACTACTTCTACTACACCCACTACACCAAACTACACCACACTACACCCAATATACGGAACAATCCCTACCACACCAAACGACATCTACTACACTTAACTACACTTACACACCAGACTCCACCTACTACACCCACTACAACAAACTACACCAAACTACACCAAACTACACCTACTACATTACACTACACAAAACTATACTTACTACACTAAAATACACCTACTACACATAAACTACACCAAAGTACACCAAACTATACCTACTACATTACACTACACCAAACTATATTTACTACACTAAATTACACCTACTACACCAAACTACACGGGAGATGGCAAAACGCGGAGCCCTACTCCATGGAGTACCCTATGGAGTACCTTAATGGAGTACCCATAAAAGTCATGTATTGGTCCAATAAAATATTTTATGAACATGGTGAATCGTTTAGATGTACATATCCTAAAATATATTGAGCTTACCAGCTCTCCGAATGTCACAGTTCGATACAATCCAGTTTTTGGGGGAACAGTTGACTAGGGCTCTCAGTCTTACTGGTTACTCCATTTTGTTTTTACCGCTGTGTAATGAGTCCTTTGACGAGAAGACAAACAACTCCATGTAATGAACAAAACCCACTGTTTCGATTTCTGCACGAGGTAAAATATCTAAGCTTACTGCATTTCCCAGATCAACAACCCCAGTCGGATTTATTTGCCGACCTGTCACTGTTTTTTTTTTTTGGTTTGTTTATATACCTCAATTTTATTGCGCTACGAATAGATGGGGGAGGAGACCCTCAGTTTAAAGATATAGATTACCTTTTTAAACAAATATAAGCTTGTATCCTCATCGTTTCGCACATTTAAGAAACCCATGCGAGGCCATGCGTTACTAGATGGAGCGCCAAACTTCTTACAGACGCCACACATAAGGTATTTTGGAAGACGTAAAACCCGTTGCAGAATGAAGGTTGTCCCTCCATTTGACCTCTTGAAGATCATATGAAAATAGATGGTAGTCGACCTATTAACGATAACGTTCATGGATCCTACCTACATTAAAGCTTTCCGTTGGAAACGGTCAGCAGTTTAATCTTAATTTCAAGATGGCGGTCAATTCGTGTACTACATCTAAGTGCGACAATCGGAGAGCTGACAAGCTCAAAATATATCAGGATATGTACATCTAAACGATTCACCATATTCATAAAGTATTTTATTTGACTCATACATGATTTTAGGGGTACTCTATTCAGGTAGTCCATAGGGTACTCCATGGAGTAGGGCTCCGCGTTTTGTCATCTCCCAAACTACACCAAACTACACCTACTACACCAAACTACTTCTACTACACCAAACTACTTCTACTACACCTACTATAACAACCTACACCAAACTACACCTACAACACCAAACTCCACCTACTATACCAAACTACATCAAACTACACCGACTACACCAAACTCCACCTACTACAACAAACTACATCAAACTACACCTATTATACCAAACTCCACCTACTACACCAAACTCCACCTACTACAACAAACTACACCAAACTACACCTTCTACCCCAAACTCCACCTTCTATAACAAACTACACCGACTACACCAAACTCCACCTACTACAACAAACTACACCAAACTACACCTACTTCACCATAGTCCACCTACTACAACAAACTACTCCTACTACACCTACTACACCAAACTACACCAAACTACACCAAACTACACTAAAGTACACCTACTACACCAAACTCCACCTACTATAATAAACTACACCAAACTACACCTACTACACCAAACTACACCAAATTACACCTAATACACCAGACTACATTAAAGTACAACTACTACACCAAACTACACCTACTACACCAAACTACACCAAATTACACCTAATACACCAGACTACATTAAAGTACAACTACTACACCTACTACACCAAACTACACCAAACTACACCTACTACACCAAACTACACCTACTACACCTAACTACACTAAACTACACTTACTATACCTATTACACCAAACTACACTAAACCACACTTACTACACCTACTACACTAAGCTACACCTATAAATTAATGTATCACTGCATACTGATTTTTCGGGTTGTTTCGTTTGAGAGGTTATCTAAAAAAAACTCTTCTGTCTCCTCTTTTCGTGCCCTAAGCACTTCCTGCGTGCTTTGCACCAGAAAAAAGCACAGTCAAGGCTTCTCTATTTGTTAGATATCGCATATATGTGGGTTTTCAATTGTCTAGGGTATTTATCAAATCTGGGCAATAATTCATGAGGTAGAAGAATGGATTGCATTTTGGCCATAAGTAAGGTTTTTGAAGCCCTGCCTTCTGTCTGACAAGCCCCTTCCTACTCTAAAAGAACCCCACTGACTGGAAGCCAAAGAATTCTTTAGCACCTTGAGGCTGTTATTTAAAATAACACGTTTAAGGAAAATTTTTATTGCAATTTTCAAAAATAATTCGAGCCATAGTGTTAATGGTTAGGGTCTGAGAACAAGTTTCCTCTTTAAAAGTTATGCAATATTTATATACGCAGATCATAGAGAAAGCAATCGAGTCTTAAGTCGTCTGTTACGGCTTTTATAATTAATTTAAAAGTGAAATAAACCAGAAAATGTCAGTCTGGAAACACAAAAAACGCCAAAGTGGAAAAGATGAATCAATGTAACGGGTGTTATTACTGAGGAAATTACATCTGTTTACCAACGATGAGCTTGTAACATTTAGAAAATGCAGCGACGAACCTTGAGCCAAAAGAAACGTCAAAAAGTATACTGATGACACATTCTACATTGAGGCAATTGGCGAATTTGATCAATAACACTTTATGGAACACAAGGTCTGGATCAACTCGGAACAGGTTAGGTGTATCCGTTCTTTGCAACAAGACTTAATTCCTTCCACTCATCGTGTTACCCAGAAACTTCCCGCAAAGAAGATTTAGGCTCCTCTCTAATGTCCGTATGGGATAACTCAAAGCGAGTCCAAAATGATCTGAAAAATTCGAATTCAGATTAGCTAAGGTGAAGTATGGTTTCGGAAATGTGTTAGATTTCGTAGCCATTACATGACTGCACGCTGTGCTTCCGCCATTTCCAAGGCCTGCGAGCGTGTAGGGTCTCTGAAGCACTGCGACACGAGCGGCGAAGCCCGCGGGTTTAGAAGCGGCGTGCGAGCGTGAGAGAGGTTTGCAAAAGTTTCAACAGGCTTCCGGAGGTGTGCTTAATTCGCTGGCTCGAGTCTCCGGGTTCTTCGCCGCTCGTGTCGCAGCGTTAATGAACCGAGGGCCTGCTCGCAAAGATACCATTCTCACCTCAGGAAGAGCTTTGATGGTGACGGTGTCAGACGCGTTGCACGTTTCTACACATCGCCCCACATCTGCTTCATAAGGCCTGCGAGTAACGTCTGAAAGCAGGAAAATAATAATAATAGAAAAAGAAACTTTACTTAATTCACTGTAAATTAAATACTTTCTAACCGAGTACATTATTTGGTTTGTCTTAAAAATGAAATAATTTCCATCCAGTCTCAGCTGCAATTTCCAACTCAGAAGTTGATCAGAAGTTGACTTCATCGTAATTAACACTAGCTAGGTTTCAAGTAATTGTACCATTGGACTTTCTCTGTATGCATTACTAAGGCTGGGCAACGATTACTTGGAAAATAATGAGGGGGGTCCCTCTTTCAAATTTATGTTTCAAAAGGCCGTTCTGGGATGCCAGAAACTTCTGTTTAAAAGGAGGCTGGGCGCTTATTCTCATGCACATAAAATTCATTTTGAGAAAGAAAGTTTGGCACCTAAGCTCATTTTGAAAGTAAGCATTCTTAAAACTCGGAAATGGCCTAATTAAATCGTCCATTGTCAAGCAAAACAATTCAACAGCAAGCCACACTGCCTGATTCAACATGATAAGTGCTCACACTATTTCTCACGTTTTCGAGCACAATGCACTTTGTTAGGATGACGTTGAAAATGTAGTTCAACGACACGTTTTGCGAATTCACGTTGCCGGTGCAATTCGTGACTTTTTTTTATCAAAGCTGATTTCAGTCGCGTTTTTATAGCTTTGAATTGTATAGAGTGCTACTGGATCGAAACAACAATTGTCCCGCTTAAGATTCGCAAATAATAATAAGACGATTAAAAAAACCTAGTCTTTGGGTAGATCATTCACGAAATCATACCCAGTGCTCCCTTCAATTTGAAATGTACGTGTGTACACTCGACCGAGCTATTTAAAACTTGCGTGATTTTAAGGATTAGAGGTTAAGCTACAAAGGACTAATCATTTTGGGAAGCGGAATGCTTGGCCTATAACCATGACCGAATCACTTCCGTCTGAGATATGATTGGAAATGACCAGTGGAAATCACTCGTCTAGGCCATCATTACCGGCACAAATTTATTAAATGTATAAGTTTATTCATTGCACTGAGCTTTCTTAACTTTCTAGCCTTGCGTAAACGAGCGAGAAGGGAAAGACTGAGAAGGGAAGCCGTGACACTCCAGGCCAACATATAATCATATTGAACCTTGTCTCTGTCATTTTAGATCGGCTTCGCGCATGATAAAGGTTCGATCCTTTTGTCGAACGAACATTGACAACCCATGACTTATTNTATCCTAAAATATATTGAGCTTACCAGCTCTCCGAATGTCACAGTTCGATACAATCCAGTTTTTGGGGGAACAGTTGACTAGGGCTCTCAGTCTTACTGGTTACTCCATTTTGTTTTTACCGCTGTGTAATGAGTCCTTTGACGAGAAGACAAACAACTCCATGTAATGAACAAAACCCACTGTTTCGATTTCTGCACGAGGTAAAATATCTAAGCTTACTGCATTTCCCAGATCAACAACCCCAGTCGGATTTATTTGCCGACCTGTCACTGTTTTTTTTTTTTGGTTTGTTTATATACCTCAATTTTATTGCGCTACGAATAGATGGGGGAGGAGACCCTCAGTTTAAAGATATAGATTACCTTTTTAAACAAATATAAGCTTGTATCCTCATCGTTTCGCACATTTAAGAAACCCATGCGAGGCCATGCGTTACTAGATGGAGCGCCAAACTTCTTACAGACGCCACACATAAGGTATTTTGGAAGACGTAAAACCCGTTGCAGAATGAAGGTTGTCCCTCCATTTGACCTCTTGAAGATCATATGAAAATAGATGGTAGTCGACCTATTAACGATAACGTTCATGGATCCTACCTACATTAAAGCTTTCCGTTGGAAACGGTCAGCAGTTTAATCTTAATTTCAAGATGGCGGTCAATTCGTGTACTACATCTAAGTGCGACAATCGGAGAGCTGACAAGCTCAAAATATATCAGGATATGTACATCTAAACGATTCACCATATTCATAAAGTATTTTATTTGACTCATACATGATTTTAGGGGTACTCTATTCAGGTAGTCCATAGGGTACTCCATGGAGTAGGGCTCCGCGTTTTGTCATCTCCCAAACTACACCAAACTACACCTACTACACCAAACTACTTCTACTACACCAAACTACTTCTACTACACCTACTATAACAACCTACACCAAACTACACCTACAACACCAAACTCCACCTACTATACCAAACTACATCAAACTACACCGACTACACCAAACTCCACCTACTACAACAAACTACATCAAACTACACCTATTATACCAAACTCCACCTACTACACCAAACTCCACCTACTACAACAAACTACACCAAACTACACCTTCTACCCCAAACTCCACCTTCTATAACAAACTACACCGACTACACCAAACTCCACCTACTACAACAAACTACACCAAACTACACCTACTTCACCATAGTCCACCTACTACAACAAACTACTCCTACTACACCTACTACACCAAACTACACCAAACTACACCAAACTACACTAAAGTACACCTACTACACCAAACTCCACCTACTATAATAAACTACACCAAACTACACCTACTACACCAAACTACACCAAATTACACCTAATACACCAGACTACATTAAAGTACAACTACTACACCTACTACACCAAACTACACCAAACTACACCTACTACACCAAACTACACCTACTACACCTAACTACACTAAACTACACTTACTATACCTATTACACCAAACTACACTAAACCACACTTACTACACCTACTACACTAAGCTACACCTATAAATTAATGTATCACTGCATACTGATTTTTCGGGTTGTTTCGTTTGAGAGGTTATCTAAAAAAAACTCTTCTGTCTCCTCTTTTCGTGCCCTAAGCACTTCCTGCGTGCTTTGCACCAGAAAAAAGCACAGTCAAGGCTTCTCTATTTGTTAGATATCGCATATATGTGGGTTTTCAATTGTCTAGGGTATTTATCAAATCTGGGCAATAATTCATGAGGTAGAAGAATGGATTGCATTTTGGCCATAAGTAAGGTTTTTGAAGCCCTGCCTTCTGTCTGACAAGCCCCTTCCTACTCTAAAAGAACCCCACTGACTGGAAGCCAAAGAATTCTTTAGCACCTTGAGGCTGTTATTTAAAATAACACGTTTAAGGAAAATTTTTATTGCAATTTTCAAAAATAATTCGAGCCATAGTGTTAATGGTTAGGGTCTGAGAACAAGTTTCCTCTTTAAAAGTTATGCAATATTTATATACGCAGATCATAGAGAAAGCAATCGAGTCTTAAGTCGTCTGTTACGGCTTTTATAATTAATTTAAAAGTGAAATAAACCAGAAAATGTCAGTCTGGAAACACAAAAAACGCCAAAGTGGAAAAGATGAATCAATGTAACGGGTGTTATTACTGAGGAAATTACATCTGTTTACCAACGATGAGCTTGTAACATTTAGAAAATGCAGCGACGAACCTTGAGCCAAAAGAAACGTCAAAAAGTATACTGATGACACATTCTACATTGAGGCAATTGGCGAATTTGATCAATAACACTTTATGGAACACAAGGTCTGGATCAACTCGGAACAGGTTAGGTGTATCCGTTCTTTGCAACAAGACTTAATTCCTTCCACTCATCGTGTTACCCAGAAACTTCCCGCAAAGAAGATTTAGGCTCCTCTCTAATGTCCGTATGGGATAACTCAAAGCGAGTCCAAAATGATCTGAAAAATTCGAATTCAGATTAGCTAAGGTGAAGTATGGTTTCGGAAATGTGTTAGATTTCGTAGCCATTACATGACTGCACGCTGTGCTTCCGCCATTTCCAAGGCCTGCGAGCGTGTAGGGTCTCTGAAGCACTGCGACACGAGCGGCGAAGCCCGCGGGTTTAGAAGCGGCGTGCGAGCGTGAGAGAGGTTTGCAAAAGTTTCAACAGGCTTCCGGAGGTGTGCTTAATTCGCTGGCTCGAGTCTCCGGGTTCTTCGCCGCTCGTGTCGCAGCGTTAATGAACCGAGGGCCTGCTCGCAAAGATACCATTCTCACCTCAGGAAGAGCTTTGATGGTGACGGTGTCAGACGCGTTGCACGTTTCTACACATCGCCCCACATCTGCTTCATAAGGCCTGCGAGTAACGTCTGAAAGCAGGAAAATAATAATAATAGAAAAAGAAACTTTACTTAATTCACTGTAAATTAAATACTTTCTAACCGAGTACATTATTTGGTTTGTCTTAAAAATGAAATAATTTCCATCCAGTCTCAGCTGCAATTTCCAACTCAGAAGTTGATCAGAAGTTGACTTCATCGTAATTAACACTAGCTAGGTTTCAAGTAATTGTACCATTGGACTTTCTCTGTATGCATTACTAAGGCTGGGCAACGATTACTTGGAAAATAATGAGGGGGGTCCCTCTTTCAAATTTATGTTTCAAAAGGCCGTTCTGGGATGCCAGAAACTTCTGTTTAAAAGGAGGCTGGGCGCTTATTCTCATGCACATAAAATTCATTTTGAGAAAGAAAGTTTGGCACCTAAGCTCATTTTGAAAGTAAGCATTCTTAAAACTCGGAAATGGCCTAATTAAATCGTCCATTGTCAAGCAAAACAATTCAACAGCAAGCCACACTGCCTGATTCAACATGATAAGTGCTCACACTATTTCTCACGTTTTCGAGCACAATGCACTTTGTTAGGATGACGTTGAAAATGTAGTTCAACGACACGTTTTGCGAATTCACGTTGCCGGTGCAATTCGTGACTTTTTTTTATCAAAGCTGATTTCAGTCGCGTTTTTATAGCTTTGAATTGTATAGAGTGCTACTGGATCGAAACAACAATTGTCCCGCTTAAGATTCGCAAATAATAATAAGACGATTAAAAAAACCTAGTCTTTGGGTAGATCATTCACGAAATCATACCCAGTGCTCCCTTCAATTTGAAATGTACGTGTGTACACTCGACCGAGCTATTTAAAACTTGCGTGATTTTAAGGATTAGAGGTTAAGCTACAAAGGACTAATCATTTTGGGAAGCGGAATGCTTGGCCTATAACCATGACCGAATCACTTCCGTCTGAGATATGATTGGAAATGACCAGTGGAAATCACTCGTCTAGGCCATCATTACCGGCACAAATTTATTAAATGTATAAGTTTATTCATTGCACTGAGCTTTCTTAACTTTCTAGCCTTGCGTAAACGAGCGAGAAGGGAAAGACTGAGAAGGGAAGCCGTGACACTCCAGGCCAACATATAATCATATTGAACCTTGTCTCTGTCATTTTAGATCGGCTTCGCGCATGATAAAGGTTCGATCCTTTTGTCGAACGAACATTGACAACCCATGACTTATTAACCGAATCGTCACACTGCCCTGGGGCAGACTTAATTAATCAGCTTTAATCTTTAGACGAAAAATTGTGAAATTATAATTGTAGTC